TGCTGTCCTTTGAGCAAAAAGGTAAACCCCAAAACCCCAAAACCCCGTCGATATTAGAATTCAAGATCAAAATAATAGTTGAAAATTAAGATTAATTGACAAAACTTAACTAGGAAAAGTTGAGTCAATAATTGAGATATTCCAACCTTTACTGATACTAGCTTAATCAGTCTTGCTTTTTGTCTGGTTTGGTGGAATTATCTCCGCCCTGAGTTCTTGTTTGTTTTCCCTTACTTAACGATCTCGTCACAAGTGCAAGAATTTTCTTGAACCAAAAGACTTAAAGCAAGAACATTCCCACATAAAGGAATGTCAAAATTCCTGTCACTTAAATAATCCAGCTTGGCAAGTGTTAGAAGGCCTAAATTAATTATTAATCAGATCATTAACTTACTTGACCGTATTGTAGATTTCTGATTCCTGAAAAGATCCTGTAGATTGTAATAGGATAGAAAAGTATTCTAAAAAGGAAGAATGATAATGCAAACAGAATTGAATTCACAGTGTACCAGATGGTATCTCCTTATTTCTAGGTGAGGAGCATCTGTCTCATGTTTAAAAACGGAGTTGATATCTCTGTCAGCAAAGAAGATGACTAATAAGGAATAATTAAATTAATCAATAAAATTACACTAATAGGAACATTGCAATATCCAGTGTAAACTGACCCTACTCCACCGATCAGTCCCAATCCATGATGAATATAAGTTTGATACATGAGTCCTGAATTATCTCGGCTATAGAAGTATTTGAATATTTTGTCATAATTGTATGAAGGATTGATGCTTGAAGTTACATTAAAAAGAGACAGACTATAAGGTCATAGACTAGATAAGAAGAGGTAACTACCATTGCATAAGAGTGAAATTTAGAGGGTTTCATCAAGCAATTGTCATTCCAAACAAAAGAACCTTCTTCACTAAAATGTTTAATCTTTGCAAATTTAATGTACCAGCTGAAAAATAAAACAATGATCGCCATGCCTACAGCAATCACAGCATGAATATTTGCAACAATTCTGCTAATATAGTCCGCTTTCTTCTCATTTGATAACTGCTAATAAATCTTATTTGATTTCCAGAGACTCATTGCGAATTTGGAGACGAAATAAGTTGCCCAGAAGAATATAAAAGAGACTGCAGCAATTTTTGTAAGTTTTGGTATGTCTTCTTCAGTGATTTGCCTATTATCCAATAGATCCATAGTATTAAATTTAATATAATAGCTTGACTAGATCAAATAAAATTTCTGCGGTATAAAATGAACAAACTTAGATATGCATATAGCCTCATGGGGTTTTGGGGTTTTGGGGTTTTGGGG